CATTACATCCCGAAATGCAAATGAACATAAAGGTAAAAGCAGAACGTTTTGTTCCTGCTTTTTTTCTGCTCACCATCATCTGATCAGAAGCTGCCTCCCTTAAATCCTGTTATTTCCTTATTTGTTTTTGAATGGCTACTTTCGGGCTCTGCGCCCCACCCCCACCTACCAGCAGACAGGTAGAGGTCGACGGTTAGTATTAGAATTAATGTACATGGGCAGGCTCACATGTTCCTGTGTGTGTACTTTAGCTTTTTAAAGGTTATTGATAAGAAGGACTCGGGTGGAGATTAGACAGACTGTCTGATATGGATGATATCAGAGTGTAGCACTGTTTTGTTCGAACCGGGTCTTTTGTGGATTCAGCCTGGATTTCCCATTTGTGTACTTGAACTGGATTTGTCTTGGTTTCCCAGAATAACCTGTTGTTGGATTCTTCTGCAGCTGGGGCTGTGTTACTGTTCTAATCCACCGCCCTTCCGCGGCTATCTTCCTAAAGTGTGTGTCTGCTCTGTTCCACTGGGCATGTGTGCATATTAACAGTGAACCAAAGCTAGAGAGCTCTCATGAATTTCTAAGACATGACAGATGCTTTTGTTTTAGGCAAAAGAACATATGCGATGATAAATGTGGCAGAGAGGCAAACAGGCCGGGTTATTAGACTTCCTTTTGGGCGGTCATGTTTTGATTCGTTCAAATCGTCCATCACTCTGTTTCCACTTTTACCTTTAACAGCTTTTAGGATTAAAGCTATTAATATTTCAATCAATAATTCATTGGTGCCCTTTGGGTGGCTCCATTTAGATCTGCCTGCTCCCATCAGGCTTGATTTTGTACCCCATCTTGTTCAATAGGAATTAACCCCATCAGCTGTGTTCAGCCACAAGTCGCAGCAGTGTTACATACAGATCAACCACGGCTATGGAGATAAAACCAAAACAAGCTTTTATGTAAGTAAATAGTATGGATTGGAAACTAAATCTTTAATCATATGCAGTAATGCCCTCTTTTCCTGTACATCCGTTCCATCTATTCATAGACAGAGAGGGTGTGGAGAGGAGATGAAGTGAAACAAAGAAAGCAGGGGAGAGGAGATTGACTCAGGGAAACCAGTGTGTGGGTAAGAGGAAGAGCAGTGGAGACTAAATCCTCTTTCCCCGCTGACTTTAATCTCTCCGTGGGCTGAGCCTGGCAGTTCAGGCCGGACAGCAGCTGTCAGTCAAGACGAGTGACGGGCGGCGGGGCCGCAGGTGGGGGATGGGGACGTCGGACTTCATGTGCGCCTGTTTATCTTTGAAACGTGGGTGGGATGTTAAGGAGGGGGTGCCTTTCACGGTGGGAGTGATGGGCATAAATAATGCTCAGACAAAAAGCTACAGTAAAGCAGATGGGTGTTTGTTTTTTTTTAATTCTCAGTGTGAAGTACGAGTGAAAAGAGCTGAGACAGGTACATTACTGGTGAGTTAGACCTGGTGCTGCCATGAGCTGAGCTTCCCTGGTATCATTTGCACTGCATCACCTCTGACCGTTTTTTCATGCATAAAACAGCATTTATAATGGAGAAACTCAAGTAAAAATTCAAAGTGAAAGGGTCCTGTTCGAATTCACATTGAATGAACCAGACACACTGCCTAACAACAACAAACTGTACGCGCAAATCAGGAGAGCAAATACACACACTACAGAATTATTCAACTAAACAGAGAGACCAGGAGGAGCTGTTTATTTTGACTTATTGTCTATTTCAGGCGTGAGCCATAAAGAATTTAAGCACGTGGCAAAAAATAGACTCCCCTCAAAATTTTAAATCATGTTTTCAAGGGGAATTCATATTTTATTAAAAGGTGCTAAGCCTGCTGGAGTACTTAACAAGGCTTTGCAATGGAAGGCTCACAGCATAGCTTTACAGAGTGGCGCAGGTTCCTAAATCTATGCTGCATCCACAGGATGTTTTCGTAGTTCATTCTCATCCATTTTCTGAATAAATACATAGTCACTAAATCAGTTTTCCCATGTAAACATCATATTAAAGCTATTAAAGGCCTATATGCACTGACTGACTAAAAGAGCTGATCCTGGAGTGTCATGTACCGGGGACATTAGAGCAATAGATCCTTTGAGTCCCGTGGCTAGCATATGTGAACTTGGCTTGGCTCCCACGGAAGTGGCCATTAGATTCCATCAGACTGGTGTCTGGGGAGTCTAAAGGCTGGGTAGAGTCTTCAGTGACTCCTCAGCAGGGGAGTGCTGTTGACATATGGGCAGGTGTGTGACTGGTCAGCAGAATTGTTCAGGTGAATTGTGAATTGAAAATTAGCTGTCGATGACTTGAACTGTCGAGGGCTTTATCGTTGTAGCTGCCCGACGATAAACCAGAGTTTTGTTGGCGGTGAAACAGCCTGGAACGGCCTGCAGTTTTTCTTCCCAGTGGTTTATTTTAGAAAAAAAACCTATCCACAGTGCACGTGGACAGGCTAAGAGAGACTACGGGATGCCGTCTCCAGTTTTAATCAACTTTGAAAAAGGGCAGAGATTGGATACGAGCCAGGAGAAGGCGACAGTAGGATAGGAAATTAAAAGAGGCGTCTGGGGCTATGAGTGTGAGAGGTGGAAGGAAGCAGAGATAAGAAAATAAGCGACTAAACGATAACGCGGCAGGTCGTCCGACTGGGAGGACGAATGCAGCGAGGAGCAGCACGGAGGGAGAAAAACATGGAGCACGTGGGAGTTCGGTTCATATTTTACTGGCCAGGAGGTGCAACCTGCTGCCTCTACTGGAGATGTCTGAACTCATTGTCAGCATTTCTGGACCGTAGAACATCAGTCGTCGCGGACGAGTAAAATGTCAACATAAATATTTGATTTTTTTTTCCAGACACAGCAGGAAAAACAATACAAATAAACACTCAAATAGGGACAGAGAGAGAGAGAGGGAAAGAGAGAGAGTGCATTAAAGCATGAAGGCAGCGAGTTTTTGTTTCCTTCCTTCCTCTACTCCATCTCTTTTCCCAGCGCATGTTCAATTATTAACTGCCACGACGACTCCATGGAGTTGGAGGCGGAGACAGACAGAAGGAGAGACAGGAATACGCTTTGTCAAACATCCAGCTGTGGCTACGGCTGACCTTGGGGCCTACTCACCTCGGAAAGGTTGTGATAGAATCGGGGCACGGCCAAAGCATTCAGGTCTCCAAATCGATGACAAAACACGGCTGACAAGTTGTTTGTTCTGGTTGTGTCGTTAAGATCTATGGTGTCACGCGATGTCCCGCTGTTGGCCACTACAAATCATCTCAGAGTGAGACCAACGTCTTTTTTGCATGTGCTCCACATTTAACAACAGAAACCTGAACTCGACCAATGCTCAACCTTCAGCTCTCGTTGTATTGTGGTGTATTCAATAACATGAAGCTTTCATGACCCGCTTCTACATGTGGGGCTTTATGGAATACCTTCTGACAGCATAGGTGCAATAAAAAGATGCCTGTCTCTGACCTTATGTTCTTCCTTCCTCCTTTTTGACAATCAGAGCTTGTGTAACAGCAGTGTTTTTGTCACTGTGTCTGCGTGTGTTGCTGTCCAAAAGTTCTCTTTCAGAGGAGAGTGTGCCACTATTTTCAGTTAATAGTCTCTTGCCATGCTTTTTCCAGCATCTCCAGGAAGTATGCGCTAAACTGAGAATCCTCTGCAATACAAATATGGCTATAAAATAACTTATTCTTATTCTTAAAAAATAAATAAAAAATTTGATAAAACCATTTGCTATTAGGGCTGTATCAGTATTTCTTCTCTTTAGCTGTGTATGTCTTTTGTTTCCTTCAGTTTTTATGGTAATGTCTCTCTGGCTATCTAATCCTGTTGCGGTCAGAAAAGGCCAGACGGGATAAATAATCCCACCAGTGATTTCTGGGTTTTGAAGAAGCCAGCAGAACCACATCATCTGCAAAAAACAAAAACAAATAAAAACCTTTCTTCCCTATGTTCAAGACTATATCTTGAGATCCTATTAATAATTTTTAAACGAATTGGTATTAAGGGGTAGCTTTGACATTATAAAAGAGTTTTTCCTAACAACGACCTGTCATGGAACAAACATCTAAGATATATACAAAATATATACAAAAATGAATTCCCTAATATCTAGACTGACAGTATAAAAGCTGGCGGTTGATTCAGGACCCATTGCCAGCTCAGTGTAGCTCAAAGCAACTGATCTCATCGTAGATTTGATGTAAAGACTAATAAAGACTGTGGAGCCCTCCAAGTTTTTCCTTTTTCAAATCAAGAACATGCAGCTGTGAGGACAATAGAAGAAAATAAACAAAGCTCACTGGCCTTTCAGCTCCCTAAATGCAAGCATGTATACAGTATGAAAAAACAGAAAAAGAAACAGGGTTTGCGGCTCAATGTGTGACTGATTGCCTGACAGAAGCTCAGCTGCCTCAAGTGAGAAGTTGTAAGCAAGTGTAGCCCAGCGTGTTGCTGACAGACAGAAGGAAAGGTGGGGGCAGGGTTTGCTGTAACTTTGGACCGGGAAAAACACACCCTGGCATGATTTACATTCTGCTAGCGATGTCAGATTCTGTTGGTAGGAATGATATAGTCTGATTACATTCTTTACTTGTAAATAAAACCGTCAGAAATTTTTTAAAAGTATATATACCCTATTTTAATTTCTGTACTTGACGTGTCCCGTTATTCTACTTTATGGGCATCTATTCAACCATGAAACAATCTTAACAAACCTGACTATAACGAGTAATCCTGGTCACTTTTTTCTATTAAATGTGGAGTGATTTGAGTGAGTTGTGTTGCTGTTGGAGGCTGAGTCTGAACAGGTGGCTGGAGATGCACATCTGGAAACTTTCATTTGCGGTTAATCTCTTTTCCTCTATAGAACCTTTTTGTAACATTCTTGGTGAATTAAACTTGCCTTTTCTCTCTTTTTCCCCTTTTTACACAACAGTTTTCGTTGCTGACGTCAAAGCTCAACGGTCATCATGGCAGACGAAGCGGACATGCGCAATGAGCTGGCCGATCTGCAGACACGTGCAGACCAGATCGCTGATGAGGTACAGTAGCAGACACTCAAAAATAAAAAAGCTATGTATTGTGGGGTGAATTAGGGTGTTTATCTAACTCCTTTGCCTATAATTCATAGGGAATGATGGTGTCTCACAGGTTTTTATTACGATCCCGCACTTATTCACTTCGTGAAAGATAAATGTAGAAAAAGCAACCCACAGTCAGAGAAACAGAGAGCAGAGACATTTATTTAAGGGAGGCTGAATCTAGTCTGCTGTGAATAAAAAGAAGTCAGTAATATGCCGCGTGCCAATTATAATGTGACATTTCAATATGACCTGTTCTCAAATGGACACACAAATGTGCCTCTAAGGGCTCCTGTCTGAGAGACACATGCCCATGAATGTGACTGTCCCTGATTTCGGCACCTGGATTTCCAAGTCTCTTTTATCAAGCATGTAAGGAAGAACTTTGCCCTTTTTAATGAGTTGAGAGGAGCTCAGCAAGACCAGATAATTCTGTGAAGCAGAATAATAGAGCAGCTCAAATGGGCTCATTAAAAAATCATGAGGAGATAATGCCAGGCTTGGATGGATGGATGGATGGATGGTTGGATGGATGGATGGATGGATGAATGGATGGATGGAGCAAAAGATGAGAGAGTTGGAGAGGGAAAGGAGAAGCCAAAGATGATGGGAACGTTACGTACTGTACGTCTGAATCCGCCCTCCTCTGGACTCTCAGCTAATAGTTTGTTCTTTCCCCCTGCAGTCTCTGGAGAGTACCCGGCGTATGCTGGCTCTGGTCGAGGAGGTGAGTACAGTGATTCAGTGGCACAGATTTTGTTGAAAGTCACAGAAGAGAGAGTGTTCTCGCTTTGGGCTCAAATACCGATCAGTCTTGACAGTTTCATTTACTGACATTAACCAAACATCCAAGCACAAGCTGCTCCCCTCATCATCTGCTGTTAATAAATATCAATGTAAAAAAAAAAAAAAAAAAAGTTTACACATTTTACACATGCAAGTTGAATAATCTAATTACCCATTCTGAATAGGTTAAATGGCCACAGCCAAAAAATCCACCTAACAATAGAAGCTAGCAGGTTGCTCACCTTTTTCTTACTTTTTTTTCAAATTTGACCGACTGGCCTTATAATAGACACTATCACCAAATTGCAGAGGAAGTGCTTAAATAAATCAATACACATTTGAGAATACAAAGATTAAGCCACTTTTCCCATGTGAGGAAAAACTGCCGGTACCATGACAGTGTCTAGTTCCGACTGGACTAGACGAGGTCCTACTAATCCCAAATATCTTGGGAGAAAGCAAAAAATCCAAACCATATCAAAGTTTGGGTCTCTGGAGGCTAAAGTAAGTAGCTTTCCAAAAATGTTCCGTGTTTAGAAAAGACAATTATGTTGGTTGTCCACCAGTCCAATTTCAAATTATACAGCTGTGTCGGCATTCCAAATATTACCTACATTTAAGGTGGCTACAGGGATGTAGCCCCATTCCACCCTCTAGGCGAGCCACCATGTCTAAATGAGACAAAGCCATGAGGGATGGAGCAAGACCTGCGACTGACCTAAACACTGATCGACAACACAAGCCAGACCTCTCAGTGACCGCAGCTTGGTGTCTGACCTTTGAAGGGAACATCGAGAGAATGCCCTGCACTGGTTCAGACTGTCTCCAAAATGTCCCAAGGTTAGGGGGGGTGGTTCCTCGGGTTAGTGAGAACCAATGAAAAGCAAAACTGCAAAATATTGTGTTTTTTTGGTGCATTCAAAGATTTCTCTTCTTTTTTTTTCTCATCGTTTGTAGATGAAAGTGATTCTGATTGTGGCATTTTCCCCTCATGCAGGAAACTGTAAGCACTTACCAGTACACCGTGGCAGCTGCTCAGAGGGCTTATGGCGAAGCTTACACTAATTCAATAAGTTAGCCAGTGGCCTGAGCAGTGACACCATTCTTGTCCAATGCTCCCATCTTGGATCTGCTTATTCAGATCTGCTTATTCAGGCCCGTGCTGGTTGGATTCTGCTCCCCAAGAAAATGCGTAAAATAGGAATCTTTGAAAAGTTTAGTTCCAGTCCTGCAAATAGTGTTAATATCTTCTGAGGAGAGACATTCATTGTCTTTTTTTCTTGACTGAAGGAAAACAGTGACAGAAAATTAGGGGGAAATTAGCTAATTAAGCTAATGAGAAGCCCATTGAATGACAATTTTGAGACTGCCCAAGAGGTCCATGTATAATGAATTAACCACATTTGGTAATTTAACTCAGTAAATGCAGCTGCGTTCTCCACAGATACTCAAATCTCTGTATATTCCAGGATTGTATGTTCAAATCTCATCAGGTGAGAGGAAGTAGATGAGAAAACCATAAACACCATTCTCATATCCAGGGGTCCGTTAAAGTTTCTGTAGATGCTAACTAATCCACTACACCCATTTCTGAAGGGAACCACGGCATAAAGGTTGCGGTCATGTCTTGAGAAAATTAACTTGCTTATTTGAAAGCAGTACTGTGGCCAGAAGGTGGATTTTGTTACTTTTGAAGCAAGACATTTGTCGCTTCATAAAATCATATTAATGACAAATTATTATGCCTTTTAGCAGATTTGACAACAGAAATGACTCGCAGCAAAATATAATGTCAAATACATTTCTAAGAAGTCATTTGGTTTTGACGTTAATTTATATCCAAAATGTATTTCCATTTACAGATTGTAAGAGAAGTAAGCAGAAAACATGCAGAAGCTCCCAATCTTTATGTGTAGTTTGGTGGCATGTTGAGATATGAAAAGGTTAATGTCTTTAGGTACATGCTGTTGAGGCGTTCGAGTGTATACAAACGCACAGTTTAGTGGTGGGTATTTTTTGTTAAATTTGAGTCCCTATTTTTGTTCCTGGAAACCTGAGCTCACTTTTTTTTCCTACCACACAGTCAAACAAAACTTGCCTTTAGATTTATTGAGCTTGAACAATTCATCTCCTTCAAGAGTCTATACCCTTGGTTGATGCAAATTTGACCTGTAACTCATTCTTGGGGACCATATATTGACATGAAATCTATTTTGTAGCATGGTGGGTGCTGTCCGAGTGTATCTCGCAGCATTAGCGAAGTGTCTTGTCTGATGTGGAGCTGAGCTGCTTAACAAATAAACTGGGCGGCAGACATAAAAGGTGAGGCGAGGCTTTAGCACTCTCAAAATTGACAGAAACCACTGCTGGTTCTACTGATCAACCAAACACAGAATGCTTCAATTATTCTAATGGAGACACATCACATCGCACAGAACAAAAAAATGCACTCATTCTCTTTAGTAGAGTGGGTCAGATGGGAGCTCCGCCACCACTTTTCTACCTTCATGTGAAAAATAAAAAGTTAAAAGCAGCATCTAGTTCATTTAGCATTGAGAGTTGCACAAACAGAGGGTAGCAGTAATTGTCTCCCTTAGTTAATGTGTGCCACAACTGTGCTTATTTCTGTAAGCTTTCCTTTGGTGTAGAAATCTGATCACTCCCAACACTGAATGTTAAAATGAAAACTTACTCGTTAGACGGTCGTCAATATTTTCTAACGCGAACAACAAAACTCCCTCTATATATAATAAGTTATCATACATTTTTATTGTAGTGCTGATTGTTTTCCTTTGCATTGTCTTGGGATTCTCTACTAAGCTTTTTATTTTCTATAAAAACACACATTTCTGAAACATTTCTTTGTTAGTTTGAATATTGTGCAACTTGAAAGATTTGTGCTAGTAAATTATTACACTGTTATGATGCATAACCATGGCAACACAAACTGTCAGAGCAGCTAAATGAGCTCCCTTAAGCCCAAGTTATACCTATAGCAGGAGCTCAAATCAAGTTGAGCTAAAGACAATACCTATTAGAAGCAGGGCTGAAACAAAATGGAGACAAAAGATGGAAGAGGGTGAAATCATTACTCTCAGTGATCGTCATGGGGATGTAAAAATTGCAAGCTGATAAATGGACAGGCTGAGACCCCTAACGAGGAGCAGGAATATCAGGAAGGCAGTATGAATTGATTCGCTGCACCAATCAGGGACTGCTGACAGAGAGGTAGAAGCCATTGCTTTTTGAGAGAGTTCATTCTTCCTGCCTGCATATACAGCATGTGCACTCATAGGCTAAGATGTCGGAACGCTATTTAAAAAAAAAAAGGAAAGGCCATTGGCCATCTCTGAAAAGTTCTAGCATGGTTTACTCTCCCACACCTCAACTTTCTGCATGGTTATCAGACATTTTGGGATATTTTTGTTATTTATCAGGATATCTCTAATAATACTTAACACTACAGATATAATTTTCCTCTGTGTGTTTATAAAGTTTTATTGAACTGAAATGAAAAGCAGAACATTTGGAGAGACAATGCATATCAGCACAGTTGTTTTGTAGTCACCTATAAATCCCAAAATAATCTGTGAAAGTCAGCCGGAGGTCAGTTTTATGACCGCAAAAGCTTAAATGCTACAACAGAATATTGAAAAAGAAAAAAAGAATCAAGCTGCTGGAGTGACATCAGCATGATTAAAAGGCTGTAACGGGATTGTTTCTTTTAAAATATGCCCTGGTACATGAAACCTCTTTAGAGCTTAATGTTTTTTTTCACCAGGAAAAGGATGAACCTTTTTTTTTTGGAATTATTTAACCAAGAAAGATATACAAATATTAAAGATTTTATAAAAATTGTTATCTGTGCTGCGGGGCTGCCGGGCGCAGATATGAGAAACAGTTGGGTGACTGAGGATGAAATAAAAGGCAAGGGGCGTGAGCTGGAAAATAATGAAAGAAAAATAAGATAGGGATGAACACTGGAGGGAAGAGTGATGAGATGAGAAGGCGTGAAAGTACACAGTACGATACAGGCTCATTGAAAGGAATCTGCGACAGGCATCAGCTCCAAATGCACTTGGCTGTTCTTTCTTTAGAAACCTGAGTTGGTATAAGTTTGAGTTATCATGAATGTAAATCCACAGGTACCAATAAATGTTTTATTTCACAGCTAAAGCCAAATTAAAGTCTGATTATCTCAGCTTTGCAAGTCAGACAAGTAGATTTTCTCAGCATGTCTGAGACCTGTTGCCCCACAGAGCTCAAAACTCTGCGATCACTTAGCACTGCGTTGCAATTGAAAAGGCTTTGTTGTTTTTTTTTTCTGCTCAGAGAAAATCAGCCTTAGCACCTTCATCCCTGTAAACACAGAGCGGCCACTCCGCTTAGCTTAATCGAAACCCAATTCGATTCATTTATATTCATGGGGCTTCGAATTACAACACAGGTCTTGTCAGGGAGCCTTAAGTAAAGTCAAGACTTCAAAAGGTCAGGAGAGGAAACAGCTGGTCTGCCTCAGCCTGAATGTCAGGGTTGGGTTGTCAGAGCTGTCTTGGTCAGAAAAGAACTTCTTGCTGACTTTATTTACAGATGCATTCCTTATGTTCACTATAACCTCATATTAACTCGCTATGAGTGTTTGATTTGTTACTTGCTTTTCCTATTTTCCAACCAGCTCGGGAATAGAGCTCTCTTCCCTGATTATGCCTCTGATGTCGCCAAGGATCTTAGTTAGCTTTCCTTTTAGAACCAAAGAAGTCTGAAATCCGGAGTTCAATGATGGGAGGTGAAGGGGTCTGCTGTGAATCAAAAAGGGCAGACGCAGAGCAGCAAGACCAGAAGCAGGAAGAAAACACAACTTGACAAGCCTTACGGAGTGGGAGTTAAACACAGGGCGGCACAAACCATCCTACAGCTAGAGGTTAGAAGTTCAAAAGACGATCTGGCCAAAAGCAGAAACAACAGGTGGTCGGTAGACTGATGTAAATAACTGGTGGCCGCCCAGCATGTGGCAGAGAACTGGACAAAGGCTGGACAACTATGACAGAAATCTTTCCACTTAAATTAGTATAAATCCACATATTTCCTCTAATTGGATGATAACCAAATATTCTTGCATATCTTTATCGTATTCATTAATGCCTTTAGGTGGTTAATATAGTCAGGGATAAAGATTATTTTTTGATAAAACAAAGATGGCCAATTTGTTTACTCAGTTTTACAAGAACAATGATAGCTACTTAACAGATCGATGCAGAAATAGTCATTTTTCCTTAAGAGATGAGCTTTTTCTTTTTCCTACTAACCAACAGGTGTTTTATAGAAAAGTTTGTGTTTCTTTTCACTTTTTGGTCATCAGTTTTATCCAAATATGGCGTGATATTCATTAAATGTGCTGTGTTGTGAACAAAAAAATAGGGCATATCTCTTGTTAGTGACAGCCTGTGGGTGTGTGCAGTTTCCAGGACTTCGAGTGGAAGACATCAATCAGACAAAGCTGTAATATCTAGAAAATATCGATAAATGAAACAGTGAGGTCCCAAAAGTCTGATGTCAGGCTTTCCAAATGGAAGTCCAGGAGCTTGTGGGGGTCGAGCGTGCCTCCATCTTTTATATGGACCCTCTGGGTATGCATTCAAGATGCATTTAAGCGATAAGTTGATGATGGAACTGATTTAACTCCGAAACACGGCTGCAGTAGATCTGTTTTCAGCGTCGGATATCTCCTCAGCCTCTGTTTGATTTATAGCAGAAGGTTAGTCTCGCTGGTCCGCTCGTAACCGAATTACGATGGATTCTAGGAGACGGCAGAGTGGATATCCCATTGAAAGATCAGTACCAATTGTGTTTGCCCCTCGAGGTCGGCGGCCGTTATAGACGGACATGGCGCCTCTGGACACCTTCGATGGCTCCGCCGCAAAGGGTTCAGGGAAGGCCAAAATATGCAACAACAAAAAAAAAAAGATGTTTGCTTTTATGGTAGACAAAGTGTGTAGAAAGCTTGTTTCATGTCAGTGAAAAGAGAAAAAACAAGAGAGAAAAAGCACCTTTTGATCCAAAAAAGCGCGTTCTGTGTTTGTTTCAGGCCAAACAGTGAGGTGAGAAAAAGACCCGGCTGGTGTACATGTACCTGTGTGTTTAGCGGCCCGCTTGTGGAGGGGATGATGTCACCCCCATCAGACTCTGCCAAGCTGGCCTTGTCACACATCCTGTCCTGTAGTTCTGCCTTCACGGCATGAGTCGTCTTGGACAAACAAGCAGCTCTCCCACTGCCTACCATGCACATCGCAGACCTATCCTCCTCCTGATCAGATTTAGTTTTTTACAAGAAGCAAAACAGCAGTTTCATTTCACTCCCACACACACCCAAAGCCACTGGCAGACCGCCGTGTTTTACACACAGACAGTTTGAGTGACACTAATATCAGATACACGTCCAAGGCTCACGTGCTCGGAGAAGGTCAGTGCACACTCTGATAAAAAAGCAAGTGATCCGTGAAGCGAGCAGCCCGTGGACTTAAGCGAAACGTGTCGGGGCCCTCGAAATGAACAACAGCTGTATCTACCTCCATGTGGTAAACGGAAGAGGTTGATTATTTGGATATTGTGTGCTCACTGAAGCATGTTACCGTCATTTGGAGAGAAGCAAGAGCAGAGCTGTGGTGTGCAAATGTGTGAGTGGCTCATACCGGCCACACCATGAAGTTACATTGCTGGGGGATTGGGATGGATTCAAAGGGAGGAGAGCGACTTGAATAAAAGATATGCTGTATATGCGGCCGCTGTGCTTCTTTCTTCTTTGGCTTCAGTTGTTCTTTGTGCTTTCTTGGTCGTGAGTTTGCCTCTAGAGCAGGGTTGTAGAAGTAAACTTGGCCAGTGTTCCACCCAGTTTTGCCTGCAAAGAGAGAACAGACGTTTGCAGCTCTGGCTCTGTTGTTGTCATTATGTTTTTTGCTCAAAATATGGATCAAATGAACACATGGAGACTAGTCTGCATACCTCTACCCTTTTTTAAATCAATGGGTTGGATGTGGAAACAGATGGAAATCAACTTTGAGTTAATTCTGAATCCAGGTGTTGGACCAACCTGAAGAGAAACAGTCAGGATACTCCTTTAGAGGAGACATGATGCATCTCTTGTCTCACGGGCATCTTCAAAAGCATGTGGCTTACATTCTCTGATCAGCGTAACACAGAAGGACATTCCTGTGATTTACACTTCTGGTTTAAACTTCCCTTTTTGGTCACACAAAGGGACCCACAGGACTCAGTACTCGGTGTACTACGTACACAGTAAATAGCCTCAGAGCTCAGACCAAACATCAGACTGCCTGGAAACGACTTTAAAACACTCTTATAACTTACTTTATTCATCATGTACTTAACTTTTCCTGGAGGAGCTCACAGACAATAACTGCTGGCTGCTTGGTCACTGTCAAAATCCCAATACACAATTGAGTTCGACAAACTCTGGAATTCACTGCTGCTCCATTTCTCTGTGTTTTGTTCAAGAATACCCGTCAAATTCTGAACTCTATATATATATATATATATATATATATATGTATATATACGGATGTTTGTTTTTTACTCATTGAAAGATGGGAGACATACATTTCTACCTTGTGTTCGAATATTAAGAATGCCAACCAGAGGTCAGATTTCCTTTGAAGGACAGAATGCATCAGGCACAGTAGCAGCAGAGGGTTTAGCAATTATTTCTTCCTCTAATGATGGCATAATATGTTCATTTTAACGCAAAAGAAAAGCAAGCTTCAACTTCTCGTTTTCCGAGGAACAGAGATGGCATCGTAATCCGAAGCGGAGGCAGACCCGGACAGATAAAATAAGCTGGATAACCTTTTAGGTTTCCCTTACAAATCCAAACAGCTGAGCGACACGTTTTCAGAGACAGGGAGGCCCGGGAGAAAGTGAAGTTTGCTTTTCTGCTTGTTTTTTTCAGTTGGTAATGACTTGAAAAGCGATTGTTTTTCCATGATACAGCCCCTTTAAAGTCCAAAGGGTCATTTTTCTGCTGTGCTGTGAAAGATGAGTTTAAAAAAATGTGATTTCAAATTGTAATTTGACCCTCTCCTGCTGCTCTCACGCTCTGCTCTGTTGGGCTTTGTCGACCTTCACTCACCTGCCACGTGTGTTTCTTCTTTTTCCCCTTCCGCCTGTCCTCTGTCCTCTCTCCCTCTGTCTGTCTGTTAGAGTAAAGATGCCGGCATCAGGACTCTGGTCATGTTGGACGAGCAGGGAGGTAAGTTAGAGGGAGAAAACTGAACAGTGTTACTTTGATCTGTTTGGCCCTGCTTCGGCTTCTCACTTGCAACAGTTTAACCCCGTATAGGCGCATCAGCATGTCCAGTCTAACCCCGCAGAACGCACAGACTAGGAGCTTTACGGGTCGAAGGTTACCATAAGATCAGAGTGATGCCTTTCCTTGCTCGCCTCAGCCTTTAAAGAAACATTCGGCAGAGCCCGCAGTAATGTTTTAAACATGATCATAGTGGATGCTGAACTCTTTTAATATATCCTGAGTAAATCTCACTGATCACAGTAAATATCGGATATAAAAAAACATACATATATATATATATGTGTATTAAATATTAGCATGACACAACGTGTTACATGTCAGATTCACATTTTGCCATCCCGGACAACCATTAAGAAGTAATTCAACCTATAAGAAAGCCTAAGTTACAACCAATATACTGTGAGGGATCTAGAATTCTTGGAGTGTGACCCATTTAAAGGCTTATAAATCAGGGAGTCTCATCTTCTGCTGTATTGATTTTAGCCACTGCTTTGTGAAATGGCTTTCTCCATTCGGGACCACATTCCTTAAGGGGGGTGGGGTGGTTCTGTTTAAGCACAAATCAGTAGACGCTTGCAGCAACAGATGGGGGCTACCTGAGCGGAGCCGGGCCAGCTGCTTTTTAAATTCCAATTTTTGCCTGTCTAATTAGTGTGCGCCGACCGATACTCCAACAAATTGAAGTGTGCCGTGCCAACTGTGCAGACGAGGCTGAGCCGGAGGTTCAGAAAATGCCAATTAACAGAGAAACCAAAAGGCTGCACGTTTGTAATTAGAATGGAAAAGGTCAGCCTGTGTTTATAGAGCGTCTTCTGATCCATTTAATGTATTGTTGCCCTCGTTAAACAGTCAAAGACCATGTCGCAGCTCCTGATAGCAGTACTCCATTTAAAGACTTTAAAGATGTTGTAGCCATAACTTTGGAACCATCACATCAAGGGTAAGGGGAAAGAATGAAGGAATGGAGCAGAGCCAAACAGAATATGTCACCAGTGTGTCCAAAAAGAAAAAAAGCAATGCAAACACAAGTCTTTCTAGCTGAAGCAGAATATGAACCCCTCACCGATTCACCAGCACTCTCAGGTGTTGAAGACCCTTTCTTTCATTTCATCCGGATTGCTGTGGAGGACGGAAGCATCTGAAAAGCCGAGGATGGGAAAGCAAAACTCCGTTAACACATAGACCTATTCATCGAGGAAAATGACACCACCAGCAGCTCCAACTGAGACGCCACAAAGGGACACTTGATTCAAGGGTCGGGGGTAACACTTAGAAACCAGTTTAGATCCAGATTTATTTGAAGCGGCTTAGAAGAAAAGCATTAGAAGCTCATATTCTCCACCTTCATGTGGTTGAGCTTAGCTATACAACCCTGAGCAGATATCTATTGGGATTTTAAACCAAACTGTGCCTATTGGACACGGGGGAGGGTCTGTTCTACTCGTATTTTTACATTGGGGTGAATTAGACGCGTCACATAATCCCACTTCACCACATTTACTGCAGAGTTGATATTAAACCCATTATGCCTTCAGACAGAGCTGTTTGGTACTGGTAACTGTCTTTATTACAGCAGATCCACATGAAAGGAGTAGGGGGGAAACCTGTGAGGACTGTATTCCCCTCCAGCCGGCTCAAAAACCCTGTGTGGGTTAGAAAACCCAGTATAAAGCCATGAAAGGTCCAGGTTTGATCCACTGAGCATCCCGGACACGGTGACACAGACCACTGATGCAACTCTGCCGCCATCAAACTAATGTCTGACGACTTAACTATTCATACGCTTAACGAAATGCCTGCTGCTATGCGAGTGCAGATGTTTCAAGCTACATTTACCGAGCGCTGAAGAGTGTGTAGTCGTGGCAAATGTGGAGGAAGTGTGTCGTGTGTGCGCACTTCATTCCACGTGTGACAGAGCAGCCTAATTGGCCTGTCAAATGAACAGATAGTCTGTTTCCTAATCTTTTTTCTCTCTCTTGCCTCCCATCGTGTTGCACCCCCCCTAAGAGGAGATTCAGCTCACAGCAGCTAGCGCAGGGCACCAATCAATTTGCAGATTTAAATTACCACTGCCCCCCAGCTAATGTCCTTTATAATGGACCCCCACTCCCTCCTTGCTCTTTCTGTTTTATTCACTTTTTATTCTTTGGTTTGCTTTCTCTGATCCGCACAAAGTTCTTATTTTTTTAACCTACGGTAATCTATTTGTAAAAGTTGCTGCAAAAACCAATGCCACTCTGCTGTTTGAGGCACATGTTAAGGTCACATTTGCCACGTTAACTACATTAAGAAGTCTCTTCCATTTTCCATTTAAAGAAAAGAAAACTAGGCTGTCATAGCTGGCTAGATCTTTAGTAATTAATACAGTCAAGCTGTAAACTGGGGTGCGACTAATCCCCGTGGCCTTTATACACTCAAATGCACACACACACACAGAGACACACACAGACCACGTACAGGAGGGGATGTGTCATGTCTTGCAGTGATGTATTACATGTAGCAGAGGTCTCACTGCAGCTAATGAGCTCCTCCTTTCTTGGCTGGTACATGCAAGTTGACCTAAATTAGATCCAGTGTCACGGCTGATGGATTATAGCTCTGACTCAGTGATCAGCTCCCAGCATTTTATCAAGCACTAATAAACTCCTGTCGGTTGTTTTGGGAAAAAAATCAACAAAATGAATATTGGGTGATTAACAGCAAATGAAACCGCGTTCAATTGACAGCTCACCTCCAAAACGGATCCATTTACTCAAGGAGATGGGTATCGTTCCTGTTCAGTCCGGCGTTGAGAATGAAACTGTTACCCTCTGAATTACCCTCTGAGACAGCCGGCAAAATATTTGAAGAGAACCAAGACACAGAAGTGATGGCCGTACCCTGACAGAAGATGCAAGGATTGGACAAACAAACAAAAAAAAACCTAACAAAACAAATACAAAAAAGCTGTTTTAGTCTGTTTTCTTTCACATCAAAGGAAGAGACACATCCCACTACTGGGGGAGGCGTGTCCTAGTCCGCTGTTCTTCTATCGTTTGGATGAGATGCACAGGAAGTTAGACAGGTGCATGTATCCTGTCAGTTCAACCAGACTCACTTACTCTGTTTGAGTAATCCTCAAACAGAGGGGATACATAGTTCCTTTCCTTTTAAAAAGTCCCTCCTCCACTCAGCTTCACTGGCCAGGATGTTGGGAGAACGTTGAGATACGATTTATTCATTAGAATTCATGAAATCAGGCAGAGATATAAGAAGAAATCCCACTTTAACGAGTCTTGATCAGAAAACATTTGAAACCTGTTCTTCTCATTTTCTTATTTGCTTTGCTAATAAATGTATTATTAATCGAACCCTGATGAGTAAAGCCAAGCTATGCTCAAGTTTACTTTAAAAATCTCGCTTTGGTACGATCTCTTCTTTCTCCTGTAAATGCGCTCATTCTTCACGAGTCCTTCTGGATCTCATTCAGGCTCATTTCAGCTGATCAACAGGGCCTCAGTAAGGCAGCCAGGACTCCTCCCTCATCTCTCGCTCTCTTGTCTTCCGTCCCACTGTCATGCAGTGGCATTCAGACAGCCAAAGTGGCAGAATTACCATATTTACATGGAGACGCAGATGCCACTCTCTATGAAATAACTCTCCGAGAAGCAATTTCTCCTTTGGGAATGAAGGTAGGCTGTCGCAATCATGGCCAATCAAAAGCAACAAAGTGGGAGAAAAAGCTGCAGGTAAAAAAAAGATTTGGTTTTGAATTCTCTGCCTAGAAGCAGGGGGAAGTACTTTGGGTTCTTTTGAAGCTTGCCACCCGCTTTGCCCGCTGCATTTTTAGCCCACGCGTGCAGCCTCCTGCAGCCTAGCGTAGAGCACCAGCCCCCTCGGCACGAGCCACCAGCCGGTCAACTCTATTTCACTGCTCTCACGCCTTTGTCCTCACCAGAGCAACTTGATCGTGTGGAGGAGGGCATGAACAAGGTGAACGCAGACCTGAAGGAGGCCGAGAAAGATTTAAAAGATATAGGACAATGCTGTGGTCTCATATGCCCATGTGTTCAAAAGTAGGTACCGGCCAGGAGCCGCGTGCTCTTGCCTGTCCAGTGCTGGTGATGGTGATGGTGATGGTGGTGGTGGTGGTGGTGGTGATGTCTGATGTCTCTCTTGTCACAGTCAATGTCTTTTTTTTTTGTCTTTTTCTCCTTTGTCTACCCCTCTTCTCTCCCCTCCCTCCCCCGACAACCTCTTCTTCCTCTCTTCTCTTCTCACGTGCTCTCGTTCTTTTGCTGGGAAAAATGACAATGTGTTGCTAATCAGAACAACTGGAGCGCATCGAGGAGGGGATGGACCAAATCAATAAGGACATGATGGATGCTGAAAAGAATTTGAACAATCTAGGACAGTTCTGTGGTCTATGTTCATGTCCCTGTAACAAGTAGGTGCTGCCTGTGTCGCCCGACCGCATGTGTTTCAGTGCCTCTGTCCACCCGCCTGCTTCTGGTGTCTAGAGCATGCTGTGTGTCGTGGGCTGTCCGGCCTGGGGTCACAACAACAACAACAACGCGCTCTCCGAGCAGGCACCGGCACCTCATGCAGGAGAGGGGGGGGGGGCGTGTGTGTTGAAACCAAATGAAAGTTTGTGAGCGCGCATGAACGGCACACTCAGGTTTTTCAGGCCACTGCAGTGGCCGCTAGCCCTTCATTCCACACCGGATGAGAGACTCTCTCCCCAGCAGGTAGCGGCATCAGCCAGGATCTTGGCCACGATCACCCACCTCCCCTATAAACCCCCAACCCGCCCTGAACCCCCCTCACCCCAACCCTGCAGCATGACACTTCACCATGCTGTGTACAAGTCCAACCAAGGAATAAATCTGCATCTTGCGCTTTTAATTTACTTTTTTTTATGGATTCATTTTAAAAACCCATTCATATTTATTCATTTTTTCTGTTTTCTTTAATTCAATGACTTAATTTCATGTATATCTTGCGCGGCTGGCGTCAAAGATCCAGTGTGTGGCATTTGGAGCAGTCTTGTGGCAGAAACGCAGCATGATATGCACATTAATTTTTTTATTGCTGTCTGACATGAAAAAAGGAGCGTTGCTTGTTTGTTTTTCCGTTGGTTGTTCATAGAGTAACTAGTCCTCTGTTATTCTGAACTAAACAGAACTAAGCTAAAACAGAACCAGATCTCTTCTGAGTTTCTCTTGGCATGCTTGGAAAGTTTTTATGAAGAGATACAGTCACAGGGTTTCAGTCTGTAACTTTACAGCTATTTATAATGAGACTTAAAACATTCACAACTTGCATCGATGTCAGTTGTAGTGGAGGCTTATATATCGGTCCGGCCGGGGCTTTGTTTTAAAATGGATTAATAAGTCTATGTACAGGTCAGAGGCTGTGGTATGTGAACCTTTTTGGACTTGGACACAAAAGGACTTATTTGTGTCCTCGCTTTTTGTTGAGCTAAGCTAACACGGTATTGTTAGCTTAGCATTTAGTGTCCACAAGTATTAGACGGCTGTCTAATAAAACAATTGCTATAAACGTAAATCATGGGGAACTTTTGTTTTGTGTGCATTCTGGAATCAATACTGTTTTACATTAATTTTTCAGGCACTTCAAGTTATGCTCCAGCACTGATACAATTCAAGCCTTTCTCTTCACCTCTGCTTTTCATGTCAGATATGTAATTATATATTTATATTTACATATTAAGTACAGCATTTTTTAAATGGGATATTCACAACCTCAGAATAGCAAATTTACTGGAGATGCAATAAGTCGCCATGGCTGCCTTTCCTAATAGGACAGACCAGACTTGGGTTTTTCATGCAGCCACACAGATCTGGGGGGGGTCAGCTTCCTGTTTATGCCACCAGATGCCACTACATCGTCCACACTGGACCTTTATGCGCCGAGCACCGCTCAACATGCAGCTTACTCTTTAACACGCTAACTTTGGGACTACAGGAAGGGCCTTTTCCAGCCTCATGGCTCTCTTAAGCTTTGTTAATATTTAACATCTTCTAATCTCGACTTGTACTTGTACTAACATTGCCTGAATGTGACTTTTACCAAACTCTTGTGTTTTCTGCCCCACCCCTCCCCGACAGCCAAACTATGGCCGCGGAGCCATGTCTGTGCACTCTCTACTCTTGAAGCATTCCACTGGAACCACCATGTATTTTGCAAATGCCAATTTAAGAGCTATAGAAAACACAAGTGGCTGACAAAGCAGGAAGACACGGGGGATAAAAGGCTGAATTGTCTGTTTTGTTGTGGGTTTCCTGCAATGATTTTGTACATTTACATAAAGGAATTGGTTGTTTTTTAATATTATTTTGCCAAAATGTTAGTACAGAATATACTCTTTGTTTTTTCTCTTCTTTTTGGGTTGGATATGCGTCCTTTAACAGAACAAAGGAAAGTAATTGTGTCGTAAATCTGACCAATTACTTTTAATATTGTAGATTTTTTTATGTTCTTTTTCATTCACTATGTAGTGCAACTTCTGTCCTGGACACTTTTTATCAACAAAAGGGGGATGAATGGGATCTAGGGCATATCTTGGGTTAACCCCCACCGTTTAGTCCTTCTGCTTCCAGCTGTTACGAGTTTTGGGTTCAGATCTTGTATATTCTATAGCTCTTTTAGTCCCTCTTTTCATGACCCACTTATTGCATAATCCTGTGGTGGTTATGTCATGTGTTTCATCTGATCTAGACACTTTGTTTAGCAGCCCCGGGTCAAATAGCAAGAGAGAAATAATTCTTGCTTCTTGTTCTAACCTAAGTGGAGCACCTGATCGGTGGAATTTGCCTCCAAGGGACAACACGGTGAAAAGGTGTAATGTATTGAATTGAAATTGAATGTATGAAAAACTGCAAAAAACTAAACAAAAACTTTAGACACTTGTGTTGCCCTCAGAGGAGACCCCCACCAATCAGATTCTCCACGTGTCGCAAAACAAATGCTAAGAATTACATTTGCTCATTTGACTGTATGAAGTGTGTCATCCTACGGACCTGTCCATCCAAATGAAATGAAGGGCTAGAAAACGAACGACTCACGATCCGAACAATCACATTCTCTTGTTTGTTTTTGGATTGCCAAGATGGATCTAACTGCTCGCCTTTCTTTTGTTCGATACAGCATGTATCTGATCCCGACCCCCGTTGTGTAGTCTGTCACTGCACGTCCCACCCCACGTGTTTGTATCCCAGTGCTCGTGTTTGTGTCTTCTCTATGCTTATTGTGTTCGTGGGGTTTCGTTTATTTCCAATCGTAAGTCACAAATGGGCTTTTTTATGTGTTCAGTTGATCTGCCCAGCCGGATCAACTATTAACCAAAAGATTGCAAATGCATGTATGGAACTATATCATACGTGGCTGTGGTGTTGCTTTTAGTTGGAGGATTAGCTTCTGGCTGTATTTGCATTCTGAACATATATGAATGTATATGTTTTGCAACTGCACACAATCAAACATGTACACGGACATTTCTCTATATATGCAGACTCCATTTGTAAGTGCACATCCACTTTCTCATAAAAATAAAAAAAAACAACAGCTGACACTCACCTATCCACGCACACTCATTGATATTTTGCACACACGAGCACGCAGCGCACCAGCCACCACGGCCCTGACTGAAATGTGTCCGCGGTAGGATTAAGGGCGGGGGCCAGGCCTGGGGGTCCAACCAGGACGGCGTGGTGAACAGCCAGCCAGGGGCTCGAGTGATGGACGAACGCGAACAGATGGCCATCAGTGGAGGCTTCATCCGCAGGTGAGCGTGTTCTCTGTCTGTTTAGGGATGTCTCCTCGGTGTGTGCCTGGAGCTGGAAAGCCAGTTTGAGTGAAATTTTTTTTGAGTGAGATTTTTTACATATTTTTGTTGCCATTTAAACCTGTTCACTTGAAGTTTTAGAAAGCGATAGTGTGCAGACAGTCCTAAAGAACACCAACAAAATTCAAACCTGCTAAAAAGAACTACCATTTTAATATCTCCATTGGTTTATTTTATGTTGGAAAATCAAACAGATTTTTTGCGAAGCCACTCCACATATTAGATGGACAGTAAAATGGACACACAGCAGGCATATCGATGTGTCACAACTATTTTATTTTAGTTTATTCCCGAGTTTTCAAAGGCTTTTCAAGCACGTCTAAAGATTGCAATGTTACAAATTCCAAATTCATTTGAGATCACGTTTCATTTGAGGCCCAGGAAATTCATCCCAGTCTAAAAAAATTGGTATCACTTTTTTCCTTCACATTAGCCGAACGGGTGAACAAAGAAGGAGCATCAGAAGACGATAATGCACTCTATGAGTTAATCATATGTACTCGTACGAGTTCACCCAATTTGTCTTGTACTCAACAATTCTTTTGAAACGTTTATGTATTTATGTATTTCGCACCATCATCATCCAAAAATGTCCCTTTCGTCACTTGACTTGTAAGCACCTCTTTGTGTTGCGGTCTCCAGAGTAACGGATGATGCCCGGGAGAACGAGATGGATGAGAACCTGGAGCAGGTGGGCGGTATCATTGGCAACCTGCGTCACATGGCGTTGGACATGGGCCAGGAGATCGACACCCAGAACCGCCAGATTGACAGGATCATGGAGAAGGTGCCAGACGCTGTTTACTTCACCAGGGCGTTGACATAGTCCCCATTTCAGTGTTCTACATATTCAACGTTTAGTTTAATCGAAAAACATCCATGTTACGGTGAAATAAATGCGATATGATAGGAAATCCAACCCGTTCCAACCGAACTTTAAAAATAAAGGACATATTATACCGATAGTGTTTTTTAAAAAAAAGGAAAAGACACTTTTACTTCCAATCGGAAGCTGTTTTAACGCTGTTCCCAGAGCTGGGACAAAGCTAATAAAAGGCCAGGCACAAAAGAATGAGCTAATAAAATGCTCAGCTGATTACTAGCTTACTGATCCACCTCACTGACGGTGACAATCTGCTGGTTGGACCTTTTTATTCAGCGTGTGTGCCCTCACCCGTTCCCGCTCGTGTCTTTGACAGCCCGTGTTCTTCCCTTTCAGGCGGATTCCAACAAGACCAGGATCGACGAGGCCAACCAGCGTGCTACAAAGATGCTGGGCAGTGGCTAAACTGCAGTCTAAAGTGCTTTGGTCCCTATTGCAACACCCCCAACCCCTCACCCACCCACCACCCCCCCGGAAAGAAAATCAACACCAACCAAACCCAGCCCTGCCCCTGAAACCACGGCCGACCGCAGGCGCTGCAAACTTGTGCTTTCATTGTTATACTGGTAGAAATTTTGCACACGTGCACACATATCATACGTTAGCTTGGCTCCCGCCTCCCACGAAACTCCGTCCCCTCCCAACCGCCGTTGTCGTTGTTGTTCTGTGGATTTTGCTCCTGGGATTTTGTTGGAGAAAACCATAGCCCGGTCACATTAGACCCACTCAGACTCTGCCCACGCTGTACATAGTGCGTCTTTAACGGCTTTAGTGATTTTAGATCACTTCTCCTGTTTTCTTCATTCTATCTATCTTTTTTTTTTTTAAGTCTTCGTGTAAAATAATATGTATGTACACCTGATGTCCTTTCCATATGCCAGTGTTCTGGTGTGGTCTGTTTAAGACACACTGTGTATTCATCTGTTAGGATGTCATGCCGCTACCTGACAAGGCCACAGCGTATTGCCGTGAGGATAGTGAACGTAGGCCACTGTTTGAATACATGTAGGTGCAAAGCCGCTCAGATCTTACTTGTTGTGTGGTAGATCATGACTACGTGAATAAGCATTTGGGCCACTCGAACGGAAGTGTGGCTTTTTATCGACTGTGTGCCAGTGATTTATCACCTAACCCCATTGACGGAAAAGAGTTCAAACGATTCGATGCCATGTATTGTAAAGAGTAGATTCCTCAGGGAGCTAAATCTCATCATTCAAAAAGCATGGTTTGCATATTCTATCGAGGCGTTGCGACCTAAATACTTTGTATCAAGAGGCTCAGTGTGTATGTGGAAAGTTGCATTTGTTTATGGTCTGAACTGCATTATCAAAGGCAAAATACTGGGCATTAACCACAGCAGCTAAGGTGTGACTGTAAAGGGCCAGAGTTCAACGGCCGTCAGTTCCAGTGTTGAACGGACTGAGGGAAGGGTCGCCGACCTCCTCACACAACACGACCCGTCACTCGACCCTAGCAATATGTAACAGAGCATTCGGTGTATTATGCATGCGCTTTCATTGCTGGAAAAATATTGACTAATTCATATATCCCGGCGAAAGTATCTTAACAAGGCAACCGCATGCTTGGTACGTAGGCCACACAGAGGAAGAAGCCCATGTTTATCTGCATTAGTGCCACTCTGTTTCATGTCTCGTTACCTGTCCAGACTGTGACCATCACTGTAAAATAATATGTACCATGGGAAACGCCAATAAAACCATGAAATGTGTAGGACCAGACCGGCCCGGTGTGTCTCTGTGACATGGGGGAGAAAGTTGTGAAGCCGTTGTACAGTAATAAAAGGCTTACACTCACATCTCATTGGCTGGGCCAACAGTAAATTAATAAAGGCAGATTGGACGTAAGGAACATGTTTTGGTTCCCACTGATGTTCTCTTAACATCTGTAATGTGGGGACATATGGAGCACCTTTACAGGCTGTTCCGGTGAGACCGGATTAACTCCAAATCCTCAAAACAGACAAGAAAATAGCTGTATTCCAAAACAAATAATTACGCTGTCAGCACAGGATTGTTACACTTTCTCCCCCCTTTTTTTCAGCTCCCCATGCTTATCTGCTTCTGAATTTCCTCTTGAAGCACATCATTGTTAGTTTTTATTTCCCGTCTATGTGAGCACTGTGCTTTCTGGGACATCGTATCCCATGACTACCTTCCTAATGCGTGGGTAATAAGATCATTACATGCTCTCAACTTATAGTTAGGTATTCTTTTGTGATGCAAATCCACTATTAAATGTACAGCTCACATGACCAGGAGTAGAAAGGCAATGTCAAGTCATGGCAGCTTAAGAAAACATGGTTACTGTGGCAGTGCTCCACAGTGGGTTTGGTTTTGTTCAAATCTAAGAGCAACAAAGCTAAAAAAAAAAAAGAAAATCCATTAGCAATGTGGATATTTTAAGCTTGACAGTGTATCAAGTATGACAGTGAATGAAAGACAGACTCAGACAAAGAGAGAAAGAGACAGAAAAGGGGAGATGCGTAGCAGCGCATTACACTAATGGACATCCACTCTGGTGCCCTGGGCTTAGGGCGGATTAGAGTTTGCTACGTCACTAAGAACGGCGGCAGGCTCGCACAAACGCACACTTACTGGAATCAACAACAGGGTAATCCACCATACCTTAGTTACATCCATTTCTCAGCTCCAGCACAGGCACACAAACTCACAAAGACGCACACAAATCATGGTGACTTTTTTTCATTATGAAATCATTTCTAAGTGATAAAAACAAATCTAATGCTTCTAAGTGTGATTTGTCTTTTCCTGGAAAATTCTCTGTTTTTTAAACAGTTATATGCCCGTGTACCACAAACGGAAACATTTACAGCCTGCTGAGTGCTGAAGATTTAATTTTTAGGCCAAAGGCTCCCTCTGCTGGTACTCCATGCTGCTTCTCTGCTTACTTGTAGTAGATTTAGACTGATAGTCATAATAATAATAATAACATAATGACCTCCCTTTTTTCAATCTTAATGTTTTTTCTACGTGTCTTCCTGGGGCCAAGACCACTGCCCTAGCGTGTGAATGGACATTTTGGTAAGATTATATATATTTTTTGTCTATATATAAAAACTTAAATAAAATATAATATTTGATCATACATTACCTATTGGCACATCACAGCGTTCAGAATTATTAAAAAAACGTGCTACTGTCAAATTATAAATACAAAAATCCACAACACGTATCATAATACACAGACTCATTACATATAAAAAAAAAGTGGTTTTGCATTTTTCGGTGACGGTCAATTGAAGACGTATCTGTCCATCCAGGGTGGGATAAAATTGTGTTGTTTTTGTTTTCCAATTTTTCGTTTAATGGGTGGGAAAAGACAGAATTTGTAATCGTTCAACTTCAAAACACAACAACGTGCTGCGTTATGGGTTTAATGTTGCTAAGTAACCCAGTGTTGCATTCACAGTCTGTAGTACTGCAGGGATTTATTCCATGGATGTAGAAATGTCGGAAGGATTCTGATTTGTATCTATTTATTAGGTCGCCACGATATGGTGGCCCATATAAAAGTTGGTTCTTCGTCGCCATTTGAAGAGGCATGGCGAAGACCATGCAACAAATCGAGGAAAAGCTTTAGCAACTCCAGTGAATGAGTAAAGAGACGTGATCAACGACTCCAACTGAAGATTTCTACGTATAACCGTTCGGCTGTCTTCGTGAGTCACGTGATACTTGGCGCCATCATCGTGTCCGTCCGCCCGGAGTCTCCCTCTTTAGCATATTCGGGACGGTCAAGCACCTACAGTGCGGCATCATGTTGCGAGCAGTTTTCCAACTGTCGGCTGCAGGGGCTCGGAGTCTGGCAAGGACACGACCCTGCTACTCTGGTAAGCACTCGGCTTTTAAGGCCGGCACGAAATTCAACAGCCCCCTGGTACAAAGTTGACTACCGCTTCCTCGCTCGGTTAGCCAGCTAGCTTAGCTTGTCGGGGGCGCAGGTATGCGGCTCGAAGCTAACACAGGGTGACATTGAGTGTTTTGTTTTTTCCAGTAGCTGTCCTTTTATGCCTTTGAATGAAAATATAATTGTACGTGTTCATTCCGTATTGTACCGTTATTAAAACCCCGTTTGAGGAATCAATAGAGAATAAGTCACGACCTTGTGGTGACCCTCTTTGTTGGTTCAGGAGTGTCAGTGACCGCTTTTAAAACGCAGCCGATATCAAAACTTCGAATTTTCAAAAACTGGACCGGGTAATTTTTTTAGGACCGTGGTGTTGTATTTGGATACCACAGAAGTGACTGTGAATGGATGTTTTCGCCGGTCGAAATATTTTTAGTCAGCCACGTTTACCGGTCAGAAGTCTCACGAGAACATCAGCTGTTGGCTTCCGATAAACGCATAACCAAGAAAAGCCGATTATAACCAAGAGATGGTGAAATAGAAGTAATTAATATGTTTCTTTGCTTTGAATTGATCAGTCTCTTGATCAATCGATATCAGCAAGATATCGATTAAAAAGTTTATTAAACTTGTAGATGCACAACTAATAGACAGTCTAAATGTATTTAATATAAATGTTATTGTGATAGATTTCTAGAAACCAAAAGTGATCTGTTGTCCAATGCTGTGTACAACTTCTTAACAGAACTAACAGCCACAATAACTTCCTCCCTGATGTAGACGTCATAGCTTGAAAAGTGGTTCTCTTTATTTTCCGCTTCTTAGCCATACGTTTTCGTGACAAATGCTTTCTGTATTTTATATGATAGAGACATTAGGCCATTTGGTGGTGGGACACCGGGTAAAAACCATGTTCCAATAGCATTGCTTTATTTTGTGTACAACTAAGGCCTCACTAAGGCGTCTTACTTCTCTAAGAACAGTTATGTTTTGTTTAATTTGTGAATTCTGATTTCATGTTTGTGTTTTTCGGTCTATCCCACATGAATGTCAATTATTTTATTTTTTTATCGTTAGTCGTGCAAGTTTTGGAACTACTTAAACATTTAAAAATTCAACTGTACTCTCTTATTTACAGCTCCACTGGCCTCCAGATGTTACTCCCATGGAAAGGTGGAGACAGATGAGGAGTTTGACTCCCGCTGGGTCACTTACTTCAGCAAGCCGGACATCGACGCCTGGGAGCTGAAGAAAGGTGATTGCCTTTCCTCACTGAAAGTATCTTCTTCTCCGTTTGCTGTCTTGTTTTAGTGTGGTTGACGTCTGTCTAAGCTATTTAAATCGGAAGTTAAAGACTTCAAACCAATGCCAAGTCCCTGTTTTTGTAGAGCCCTGCTACCCAACAGCTAAATAATCAAAAACACATAACTGTCTTTGTTCGGGCAGTCTTGTTAGGCTGTCACTTCTTTGCTTTATTTTTATTGTTCATTCTAGTAGAAAATGTGTTTATTCCCTGGGATTTGCACCCATAGGCATGAACACCCTGATTGGGTATGACTTGGTACCTGAAGCGAAGATCCTGGATTCGGCACTAAGAGCCTGTCGGAGACTGGATGATCTGGCCAGCGCCATCCGAATCCTTGAAGCCGTCAAGGTGAGCAACAACCAGCTTTTTGCTCACCGTAGTTCCAGTTTTAGGACCATAACCCTAAACGGTACAGAGCAGGTTTGGAACTGGAACTCTAACAATTCACTAAAAGGCTAAAAGTGGTTTAAAAAATGGAAGAGTACACATGACTTTTCGTTTTCTCAGGATAAAGCCGGTCCCCACAAGGACATCTATCCCTACCTGATCCAGGAGCTGAAGCCCACTCTATCAGAACTTGGGATCTCAACACCAGAAGAGCTTGGAATTGATCAATTGTAGACCGCAAAGGTTAGAACACTGCACCTGACCCTGTCTTTCTCAAACTGTGGAACATGCTTGAAGTATATGTCTTTTTGGGGTTTATACCTGTTCTTTGAAAAATAAAATCTTTTTCTTCTGTCCTCAGACTCTTTTGGCTTCTGAAGAGACGAGCCCTCCTGATACTCTCCAGTCTAGAATATATATATATTGTTAATTGAACACATTTTGTCCTATTGTACAAAAACGTGGATGTAATAAAGAAAATGTTTGAATTTGTGTTTTCCTGCTTTGGTTAACTCCTGATTGCTGTGGAGACACGGACGGAAAGCATAGGGATTTTTGCTTTATTGGAGTAGCATTCAAAGCTAGATGGATGGAACTGATTCAGTCACTCTTTGGTGATTGGTATTGGTTATATTTAAATCATTAATATACTATGAACACCAAAAATATTTATTGCAGTTAACTCAGAGTGAATAGAAAAGAATACTCTGCTGCCCCTGAGACCTGTGGCTAAGTCTGGCACAATTATTGACTGAAACAGATTAAACGGTTTTATCTGGTAAAGTTAAAGCTGTGCATAAGGGATTGTTTCTTCCGTTTGCCACCAGATGGCGACAAGAAACTTTAAAACCATGGCAAGTCCCAGCAAAACTACTATGCACGTAGAGGGAGCACTATGGTTAAATGTAATACAGTGGAAAAAGTGGAAACATTAGCATCCAAAACAGCATCCTCGTTCTACCGTTATCAGCTATGTATTTCTTCCTGCCTTTTTATAGCTCATAAACAACTTGACAGCCAACAATAAGCAATATGGTGGGAAAAGTGGCACTTTCATTGAAACAGAACTCATTCTGAACTTGTGTACGAGCACAATAGATCGTATACAACGTTGTCTGTAAATGCCAGTGTCATCACCCGGATGATCAATTAGATAAAGTCTCAGATACTCAATTGCAGCCCCAGATAAAAAAGATGGTATGTTATGCTCCCGATCAGGTTGTAAGCAGTATAATTGTTTGAAAAGCAGCCTTACAAGGAATACAAATAACCTGCATACAAAGATAACTTCCTTTAAATAATAGGTTTCCGATAGTTTTTAGCAGTTATCTAAATTATTCCCACATGACGATTGTTCTTGAACGTGTCGCGCTTATTTTGGACAGTTCTACCCGGAAGTACTATCATCCTTTGCTTTCACCGATAACATGATAGCCTAGCAGGCTAGTAGAAGTGCCTGTCTTGTTTCTGAGGGGAGAAGATGAAGTAAAATCGACTGTCATGTCTGTATCGTGTTGTAAATTGTGACAACTGACGCCAAGATGATGAACGACATAATCGAGGAGCCCGAAAAAGACACGCTCCTGGAAGCGCAGCACGAGCCACAAGTTTTGACGGTAAGCTAAAGCTAACAGTAGCTTGTAAACAGAAACAGCTAAATAGCCTAGCTTTTTTGTGATTGTTTACATCAGAATGTTCTTATAATCTGGCTTAATGACGGAATTTTTAGCCGCAAAACATGTTCAAGTTTGTTTTTAAGTCAGACAAGTGGTTTATGTTCCTTACAGGGAATTCAGATAGTTTAGATAAAATTGTAATTAAATTTTTTTCTCTGAAATGTTCACCATATTTGTGGTATAAATGTGGTATAATTTTGCTAAATAACACAAAATGTAAACTTTTTACTTCTTATTTCCATGAAAACATAGTTTATTCACAGGGAGTCTACCATTTTTTCCTTCAAAGATAGTTCCAGAGAAATCACTCAGTTGTTGCTCACATGATGCCATTGTGGGGATTTCATGGGGCTTCCATCCGGGAACTTTATAGTCTCTGTGTCTTCTGTTATGGGTGAAATCTTAGGGACCAAATAATGGGACAAGACCTAAGACTACAGATGGAGGCAACAGGCCAGTGGAGAAAAGAGGACCTTACATCATGTCCAGAGCTCCAGCCATCCACCTCAAACTACGTAAGCATTTTGCTGACTCAAATCCATATCTGAGCTAGGAGTTGTCTCATAATTAGATCCCCCCCCCCCCCATTTTGTCTTAAACTAACCACTGAACTGAAAACAACCCACCTAGGTTGATTAAATGCGTGATTATCTCTGCTAAGGGTGAATAAAACAGTGGAATCTAAAATGAATCCATAGTGCTGTACAAGTGTTTTTTATATATGTTGCCTCTAAGGAGCAAGGCATTCGTTTGATATGGTCTACAGGAACACTTCACTTTGCCTTTTGTCTCTAGGGATATCCAGCATAGTGTCTCTCCATATCTTAAACAAGAACTGGGTATATAAATAGTTTTAAGTAGTATTTTTTTCCTGCTTTGTTATTAGCAGCCTGCTGCAAAGACACTTAATTTGTTCCCATGTGTTTTTGTTCAATTTGTTATAAATACTAAGTATAACTTAGGCTGTAATGTGTGCACTAACAAGGTACTCAAAGAGTTACCAGATGAAAGCTTGACATCCCTTGGCTTGCTGTGAACTGTCTTTAATAATTTGAGGAAACCAAGCGAGGCCTTACAAACTATGTACCGCAGATGAACACTATCGGAAAATCCAGCAGAGCTCACAGCAGGACCAGAGGTATGCAGCTGGACTTTCAGAATATCCGATGTTCAGTGTGCCTCATCAGAAATGCTCCTCTTGGAAGGACTCATGTAAAGCCTTTTTAACGAAGAGAAACAGAAAGAAAAGACTGAGTGATACCAAATCACACAATAGGTGGACTGAAAGCCAGAAGAGAAATAAAAGCCTCCTGGAAGCCCTGAGGAACTATTCCCAAAGATTATTGACAGAAACAACTATAGCATTGTTTAAATTGACAGAACTCCCTTTTTTAACTTTAGACTTGCATTAATGTATTTAGTTAAAAGTGTCCAAGTCTATTTGTGAATAGCGTCCGCTGTTGTCTATTTGTATCTTGTTACGCATTTTTGTTAATCAAATGAGTCGGTCTGTGTTTGTATTAGTCATATTGCGATTTTAGCGTCGGTTTACTGCAGTTCTATGCAGTCAGTGAAACTAAAAACCTTCTCTCTGACAATCCCAAGAGAAACACAGGGAGATGGCGAGAAAGGCGCTGAAGAAGAAGGCGCTGTCAGCCGGGCCTCCGGTAACGCATCAGCCCAGACAAGGAGTCAAGAGGTGAGGAAACTCAGCCAGACCGAGGCGGAAGGTTTTTAGGGAAGCCCGAATAGTTTTATTCTTTAAGGCCGTTTTCTATCCCTCCTTTCAGGACAGTGAAGTATAACAAGGGCTACGCTGCTTTGAGTCAACACCCCGATGAGACTCTGGTAGCACTGGACTCGGACAGGTGAGAAACCCAATACACGGACTCACTGTGACAGGCCGCCCTTTGCCAGCAGGGCCTATCATGTTGATCCCATCACTCGTTCATGTCTCCACAGCGATGAAGAGATTGACTTCGAGCAGTATTCCTCAGGCTACTCTTCGGCTGAGGTGAGTCAGATCACGTTGGAATCCCCGTTTGTCAAACTGGCTCGGTGACTGGTGTCTGTGCTGACAGCAGTGATCTGGGGTGCGTCCAGATCGTGTGCTGAGATAACAAGACTTCGTTAATTAATCTGGTCCTTTCGTCACTGTGACCCGGTGCCGGTTTTTCCCACCGCACACTTTGGCCTATTAGCACACACACAAGGTGCCAGAACAAAAAAAAAAGCCTGGGCTTTCTCTTGGGGTAACATTCTTGATTGTTAACGACTTCCTAGAGCCTCACACGATACCACCAGATCACCGGCGTTATCAAACAATAAATGGGTAAGAGGTTTAAAAACCGGTTTGACTCTGTGATCTAAGCAGGAGATGCTTTCTCAACTGACAGAAATGCACCATGTCTGTAGATGTACTGCCAAGTTTTGTTCTGGTTTTATGCATTCAGAAGGAACACGATGTGGCGGTGGTTTTACAACTCGTAAACACGGTCGTTATTAAATGTGGAGTTTTTGAAGATGACTCAGTTCCACGCTCTGAGCCTCTGGCTGTTTTCTGAGCCGGTTTGAGTTTTCTCTGAGCAAAGCTTAGGGCCTGCGTGGCTTCTTGTTGCGCTTAAGTGATTGAGATTTTTTGGGAAAAATCAAGACAAAACGCACATTTGGTCGGTGGATACTTTATTAATTAAAAGCTCTCCCCGCCGTCTGCGTCTGCCCTCCAGGTCCACCCCGATTTGAGCCGGCAGCTCCTTCAGGACGGCTACCGCCTGGACGAGATCCCCGACGACGAAGACCTGGACCTGATCCCCCCCAAAGCCATGGGCTCCTCTGTGTGCTGCTGCTCCGAGGGCCCTTCCTGCTCCATGCAGTGACGCCGGTGCCATGCCTCTGACCTCGCCACGGCGCGGCCGAAAACCTCAGCGGGGCCTCGCTGCTGTCTCCCTACGCCTTCGTCGTTTGGCGGCTGTGGTGCTGCAGGCTGAATGAGACGAACGACTCCTAAAGCCGGACCGGGAGCACCGCACACTGACCAATGCAGGCAGTTGTGAGAGCAAGCCTTATCCACTGTGACCCCAAAGTTTGACAGGCTTTATTTATTTATTCATCCTGTTTTTTCTTTGTGTAGGATTACACGAAATAGCAATGGCCACTCACTCTACACAGAGTGGGAGACTGCTTACTGTTCTCTCCTCTCTGGGTCATTCAGGTGTGATGGTTTGTGTTTAGTTTGAGCTCTTTTTTTTTTTTTTACGCTGCATTCATCGGTTACTGATTTAAGAACTTCTATTTTAACTACCGGCACTTCACTGGAGCATGACAATGCTTTATTAGTCTGTTATATCTTTTCCACCGGAGTTTGACCCAAAACAGTACAGAAGCAAACGGGCAGGATTGAGTAAAACTACTTTACTCCGTGTTGTTACGTGGAACGAGTACGTTTTCCCTCATGATTATTTACTACAAAAAAGGAGTTACATTTTGGGCGATTTGTCATGGAGCAAAAAGCCACACTGCACTAATGTTAAAAAAACAAAACAACAAGAAAACACAATGTTTACTCAGACAGTTACGGATCTCCACACCATGAAAAGACTAAAAGCTGCACTTGACTCACTTTGCACCGAGTTTCAAACAGTGCTGATGACCTCGTTACAATGTTTTAGGAAAAAGGGTTAAATCGGCATCATCATCTGAAACTAAGAATACACTCTTACAATTAAAAGTCTCTTTTTAAGGAAAAATATTCAGAAACAAGTGGAATGTAGGAAGAATTCCAAAAAGTACATTATTATGTGGCCAATAATTGATATGTAGCATTCTGGTTTAAAACCCTATCCTGCATGTCATGAAGAACAATATGTATGCACATCAGGTTTGACTATGTATTTAAGTATAATATTATTTTCTATATTACATATTCCATGCAAGTTATTTACATTATACATCAGTTTTGAATATATATTTTTTGTTTGTTTCTTTCTGTTTGTGAGTTTTATTTGTGCACATTTAATCTGAGGAAGAAGAAAAGAAAGTCTTCTGTCGTTTTTCTTGCATTTCCGGTAACATTCTTCTGTTATTTTTGGGTTGATGTTCATGACGGTGACAGTCAGCCCCATCTCCTTAGATTTGTGTGTGTATGTATGTGTGTGAATGCACAAATAGGGAGCAATTTGCCTTTCGCATATGTTTGCGAAATAAAAGTTTTTAAAAATAATTGCACATCTGCCCCACCAAGGTTTGAGGAACAAGTTGTTACTGATAGCCAGCTGATCCATTCACCCAAAAGGAAGCGCTGCAAAGAGCTGGACGACATCAGGAACGGTGCAGGTTCATCAATTGGATGACAGTGGATTTTGAAAAGAACGTTGGAAGCTTTTCAGGCTTGTAATGTAGACGTCTGAGCTGACGGGGATGTTTCACCCAGCGTGTTTCTTTTTCCTTTTGATCCTGCAAAATGCTTTAAATGGACTGGGTGAATTGGAAGCATGTGACGCCTCCCTCCCTTCCAGACACCGAGATGTGTTTGATGTGTATAAATTGTGGCACTTGGCACCAACGATCAGTAGCAAGTACACTAAACTCACCTGTGCTATGCAACCATTGGGACAATCTCCTTGTTGTATGACGCTGTGCAGAGGTTTTCCTATCCAGTGCTAAATGCAATAAGTTTGTTTTTTTACAATGGTAACTGCTAATCTTTTTATTTCACTGTATTGGTCGCTGATTTGCATTAATAAACCAAACTCCAAACATGGTTTGTTTTGTTTTTTTGCCTGTTTTCAGTAACTAAATGTTGGTAGAGGTAACAGAAAGCGCCCACCACGCGTATGCTTCCTTCCGCCAGGGGGCAGTCGAGAGCCACGCTGTGGTCTCAGCAACCCGCAATTAGTAAGTTTTTCTCGTTAAACCTGTTTAAAGAATTGAGCGACTATTGAACTATATATATATATATTTATATGTATGTATATATTTATATACGTGTGCGTATGCACGCATGCGCACTGTGGAGTGCATGTGTGAAACTTGTTCAAGAGCACGTCGGAAATAAACTAAACAAGCCTTGCTATTTGGTTATGACAGGACAAGCCGATTTTATGGATAAAGATCTATTGTTTTTAAACAGATAACACTAAGGTGCAATTCAGCAGTTTAACAGATAGTTGAGCGCACAGTTGTCATTTAGGTTATTTAGGAGTATATCAGACGAGCCCTTGCGGTTTCCCCACATGTTTAATTAATGCATTGATCATTTTTTATCCGTGCTCTGAAACGGCAAAAGGCTGATACTTGTTGCTGTCGCTGGGCGGGCCTAATGCCATGTGTGTGTGTCTGTAAATGTGTGTGTGTGTGAGGGGGGGGAGTGTCAACTTAAGGGGAGGAAGAAAAAAAAAACGACTGGGAGTTACCTCAGCGCTTTCCGAGATATGAGATCGGGCCATTTTCCAGCCGGTCCCCTCGCACATTAAAGAAGAAAAAACCGGGCTAATCAAAAGTGGGAGCAACCGGACGCACACGTTGACGGCCGGGCTCGGAGGGCTCGTTCAGCAGCACGCGGCACGGAGACCCCTTCCAGCCCCCGCCGACCGGTCGGAATCCGCGGTGCGTGCCCAGCGACTCCCGCCCCCCCGCTCCACCAGACCACCCCCCTCCCTCCCGTGCGCGCGCGCCCGCGCGTGTGTGTTTACAAGTGTTTGAACGAGTGCCAGAAACGAGGGAAGACGGAGGATAAAGCCAAGCAAGGAGGGATGGTGGACAATTCCAGCAGTAGTAAGGCCCAAACGGTGAGTCGCGGTGGTGATTGGCTTCCCTTTTGACTGAGAGGGGACGAGCTGTTAAAAAAAA